TGGACCTTGTGTTCACTGTAGTCTGAGCAAAAAGCCTTCCTCCTTGTCCTTGTTTAACCAAAACCAGCACATCCATGTACAAGCAGAGAGGTGGGCAGTGTTACTAGGCTTTGTTTACTGCTGAAGATTTCTTCCAAGACTCGTGTTGTCTGTTTACTTTAAAATTCAGTGTTTAAGGCAAATTCCTTCTGTAGCCAGCAGAGAACAATGAGCACTTTTACTGGGTCCCATCTGAAGAGACGTGTTTAAGATGGATTTGATGATTTGCTCCCTGGCTCTCCAGCCTTCCTAATGTTTAATGGGTATGATCTAGCCTGTTTCAATTTTGACATATTCAGTCAGGGCGTCTAGGCATTACTCATCTGGGTTAACAGTGCTCACAGCTTACATTTTCCGCCTTATCTGTGAAAAGCAAAGATTTATGCAGCTCAGCTGATGTGCAGTAGCTGAGTAAACCAGAGCAACTCAATTGAGTATCTGAGAATGAGACACATTTAACTGCAATTTATAAAATACCAAAGGATGTACCTCTAGTTGCTTATACTTCATTACCTTCAGAAAGTGGGTAGTTGATGTTTATCATAGCTAATTAACAAACTGTGGAGTGGGAAGGCAGCTCTAAAAGCCTTCTCATCCATCCTCTGCTGCAGCTACCAGTGCATAGATGTTTATACCTGTAAAGATGTCAATTACTGGAGGCATGCTGGCCCAATGCTTCATTATCTCAGTAGTCTGAAACCTCTTCCTAAGCTGAAGCCCAGTTTACCATGTCTTAATTACCTATTTCAACACAGGTAATTAAACTAATGTATTAATTAACAACCAAATAAAGCAAAAAAACCCCAAGGATGTTTAAGTGGACAAGGGAGGAGAAGGGAGATTACAGTGCATCTGCAGGCATAACTAGATTCTGACAGTGAGAAGATAGTCACTGTCTAATGTGCTAAAGAGAAAGTGCTCTGTTTGTGGAAGGTTGGAACATTTACCTTTTCCAAAGTCACTTTCCTTGGGAAAACTGCAAGTGACTTTGAGGACTCTTCCAGTTCAAGTTATAGATATTTATTTATAGAGCAATTTGAAAAGTAAGGAGAGCTTCAGCAAGATCCTTTTTGCACCTGTACACAAGACTCTCCCTGGTACTTGTGACGTGGTATTTGCTGAGTTAGAGTGATAGTCCCTTGGTGTTATAGATGGGAAGGAAGTTGTTTTAAAGCTCATTCCCAGGCAGAGTTTACTGGAAGGGTGCAAATTCTTCAAAAGCTCATTAAATTATTACCTTCTTCCTGGAGTACACACTGCAAAACATTTATCCCTGGTTTTTAATGTCACCATCCATTCAGACTCATTATTACAGGGCAGGTCACAGGATGTAATGTACTACTGACAGTGCTGCCACAGGCTCCACACACCCCACAAATATGGGAAGCTCAGGGCTCACATACTTATGGCTCCCATTACTCCAAACCACTTTGCTGCCAGGTCAGAGCTTCCAGGCAGGGCAAGGCAGTGTCCATTCACCAGAGTCTGTCTCTTGAGGCACAGCAGAACATTAAACACGTGGTGCTCAGCAGGCTGGTTCTCCTTAGCAGCTTGGCTCTCCGCACAGAGAAACCTGTTTGGCTGTCATTTCAAGGACTCTGGTTTTTTGCTTAGCACACAGATACATAAATAGATCTCGTCTTAAGATATCAAAGCTGGTTTGGGTCCTATTTGTGGCAGAAGCTAACTGCTAATGGAATGAAAATCCATAAATGTTGTCGGCAGCTTTTATCACCCAAATCTTTAAGGAAGCTTTACCACAGACTGTGCTCAGTTGTTAACTGTAATTATCCTGGTAGCAGACATGAGAACACTGAGAACAGGAGAGTAAAATGCTGCTCAAACTAGCAGCACATGCAGATGTAAGTTTTGCTTTGCCTCCTCCAAAGCTGCTTTTTCAACAGCTGGGCTGTGCAGTCTCTGAAGTGCCCAGCACTGCCAGTATCCTTCAGAATCATATCAAAGCTTTTGGTAAACAGATTGAAGAGCTACTTAGCATATATCATGTGCTATGGCTGCTCATTGTTTCTGACCCAGAAGGGCTCTGCATTTAACAAAAACCTCTCACTGGTGATACAGGCAAGCAATGGTTCTCCCTATGGCCCCTGGCCATAGGGAGAACCATTGCTTGCCTGTATCACTGTGTAGGGGATTGAGTAATATTGTAGGTACAGGTTCTTGAGAAGCCAAGGCGTGTGGTGGCTGCTCTCATGCTGCTACGAGACCTGAAGGCAGCATGTGTGTTGTGCACCCTCTCTGACCATGCACTTGTTGCATTCAGGAACTGAGAATTTCCCTGCACCAAATAAGTGCACATGATAAGATGGCACACAAGCAGGAACAAGAGGCCTTTTCCCTTTGCCCAGGCTGCAAACGAAAGGAAAAAAACCCCAAGATTTCCTAGAATTATGTTTGTCTCTGGTGATTACATACACACTTGCATGTAATCAGAATTCTAAGCCATTTTTACAGAGTATCTGGGCTTGCCATATCAGGATGAGATCTCTTTGCATGGTGGGGAATATGAACACTCCAGATTAGATTCTGAGTCTGGAAAGATGTCCCTCATTATTCGGGACAAGAGGTTAGAGAATAATGAAATGTGATACAATCTAGAGGTCACAGAGTCTTTTTCTACTTGGTTTCCTACAGATACGTCTGTAGCTTTGTGTGAGTTAATTAGAGCTCCTTGTGTCTCAGTTTCCTTAATGCACCACAAGAGAAATGCAGCCTAAGTTGGAAAGGGAGATCTATGTGTGTGTTTTAGCCAAGTATCTCCAAAGTCTCTCACAAATAGAAAGTCAGTTTCAAAACAAGCTCAGCTGGACAGGGTAGAATGAAAGGAACAGAAATAGTGTCTCCTGCTCCTGGAATGTGCCCGTGTCTGGGACTGAATGTTACAGCAGTGCTTTGCTTTTTTCACAGCCTGGCACAGCAGTTCACAGCAGGGTAGAGGGATCATGCACTGCATACCTTTGAAGAAGAAGTGGTGATGCAAATTGGAAGAATGCAATCTACCCATGCTGGAACTCAGAGATTATCTGCATAAGGAGCTTCTTTCCTTCAGTCTGTACCCATGTTTGACAGCCTTTCTCAAGTGTCTTTTGCCTTTGTGCTATGGTGGCAGGAGACTGATTGCAGAGAGCTGTCAGAGGTGGGCAGGGCAGCTCCAGAAGCATCTGTGAGAGTCTGCCTGCATCCAGCTGTTTTCTGCACATGGGCACTGCAGCCACCTCACCACCCCCCTGCATGGAGCTACTGAGAAATGCATGCTCACGCTTCCTTTGAAGTGGGCATCCCCCCAGCAGATCTCATGCAGTGCTTCTAAACTTGCTGTTTAGGTGGGAGCCTGCCCTTGAATTTGGCCTCAAAAGGCAGAAGTGATCTTACTACAAGATCACAGGACAGGGGCTCATGTGGTACTGATGGCTGCAGCACAAAGCATCAAGTGTATTCAAACACCAATTCTCTTTTTCAAATACAAAATAAGAACACAGAAAAACCTTGAAAAATACTGTCTTCCTTTCCTCTTGACTGTACAATTCTAAGTCTGGATCTTCTGACAGGTTGAGAATAAACTATTCCCTCTCTAAGCAGTAAACAATTATGCTATGGGACTCCACTGTTTGGAGGACTGGACCTGGAAATATGATAAGTATAGTAGCTAATGCTCAAATAGAACCAAACAAGACCCCAAACCTAATACTACCAGGGTTAATCAGCTGGGGACACTTTCTATTAAATATAGAAACCACTTTTCCATCTCACAAGCCAGTTATAAATAAATACCTTTTCCCCTTTTTTTTTTTTTCAGGAGAGCCTGGCACAGCCCCAGTGAGCCTGATCAGCCTCTGCTGTGGAGCTGAGTAACAGGCAGCTGCAAACCTCCTAAAAATGTGAGCAGGCTGACATGCTGCAGCCCAGCTGCAGAGCAGGGACATAAGTTTTCCCCCTCATTTCTTTTTGCCTTTGGGTGACATGCTCTGAACAGGGCTGCAGTGGCTAAGGATGAGCAACATCCCTTTCTCCTGCCTGTGGAGAGCACACTGATGGGGAAAAGAAGCTGGGAGCTTTGCTTGGTGCTTGGGAGAAAAAGGAGAAAAGTCATGACTGAAACAGAACTGAAGTGCTGAAAAAGTTGTTGCTGTTGGTTTTCAGTGAGGAGAGTTGTCAGATTAGGACTGGCACGAATAAATGATACCGTGAGCAAGAGTTTGCAGGTGTGCAGGGCTGCAGCCAGGGAAGCACCCTGTGAGTGCCTGGTAATTGATGGGGAGATACCCCAGTATTTGCACTTTGAAGGGGACCGACTCTGGCTTCCATAATCTGCCTTTTTGTGCCTAATAACAGCAGCATCAGGACATTTATGTAACATTTATCAACTTTTCAGAATACTTCTTAACAAATAAATCTTCTTGAGGAAGCTCGTAAATTGCTCAAGGATCCTTGGAGGAAATATGACTCTGTTATTTCCATGCTGCTAAAATGTCTTCCCTGCCACCCAGCCCACAGGCAGGTCCTGCTCTTAGAAGGTGATCTGTGACATTTGTGTGTGCCTGTTCACAGCAGTGGAAGGACACTGGGCCCCCAGGTGACCAAGGGCTGAGTAAAGAGCACAGTCTGAGGGTTTGTCAGGGGTGTGAGCCCAGACCTTGGTGCCTCCCAAGGCTTCCAGAAGGTCTAAATGCTGTCCTGTGGGAGTTTTGCATTGAGACGTCTGGGGATTAAAATACATTTGCATAATAACTATGTGCAGTTTACACATTCATTTGGCAAGTCTTGAGACAGGGTACACAAAATGCACCTGCCTTGTTAGACAATTCCTTTGAAAAGGTGTCCCTGAAATCCTATAACTACATCTTTTAAAAGCCTATTTTTGGTAGTGAATGTGTCCACGCTCAGACTTCGTAGTCCTCTTTAAGCCCTGAGTTTCTGCTAAGACTGCCAAGCTTGAGGCTATTTCTTGTGGTGATCCTTGGGACACTTCTAGTGCAGATTTTGTTTTGCTAAACAATATTGTTGGGACTTCCCAGATGCTTTCTCAAGAAAGCTCCAGCTTTTCTGGAAGGAGTTCAGAAAGGAAAGTTTGTTGCTATTTGCAGCAGCAAACAGCTAAGAAATCAAAGGCAACAATTCATAACACAGATCAGCAAAAGGTAAGAATGAAACTGTTTCCCGAGGAAATATTCTAACAAACCAGAATGACATTTCAAAATGATAATTTTTAAGTCACTTAATAACATTCATTTCAGTACAGCCATGCCCTAAGGAATAAGTGTCTATATTTAATTCCTCTTAAGCAAGAGGCATTTGTCTGTAGGGAAAGGTTGCTTTGTTCATCTTCCTTGGGGGCAGTGACACAGCTCCAAATATATTCAATAGTATCCAAGTTTCTGCAAAACTGAGTGGTTTTGAAAGATGGTTTATTTTAAGAGCTATTAAAAAAAAAAAAAAAAAAAAAAAAAAGAGTAGAAGGATCACTGGCTTACTTTGAGGTATTAGTTCCAGGCAGAAGTGAATGGAAGAAATTATGCTCTTGTTACCTACATTTGGAGCTGCTGCATCCCAGCAGAAAGATTTGCTACCTCACCTCCATCATGCTCAAGCACCTCTAAAACCTATTATGAGGCTGTGTCCTGTACCAGGGCACTGCAAGTGTAAGTATTCTTGAATGGTTCTGCAAGGTGCCTGGAAGTGATCACTGCAAACTGGGAAACTGAGAAACACTGAGTACAGCTTTTACCTCATACTCTGGTGTGAACTACAGGGAACTAATTGCAGGGCTTAGCATAAATACAGCCATCTTGTTTCTCAGCAAAGGTGCAGTTATGCTAAATTAAACATGCTGAGATGACTAAGAATTATTATTCATCATGATATCTTACTGAATTTTCAGGGGTCAGGAAGATGACTCCCTTTTTAATACTAAAAATAGCATTAGCTGAACAGAGCATATTTGATGTAGTCATGAGTAAACTTGGGAGATGAAGCAGACTGAGTAACTGCCTGTTGGTAACTAGAAAAAAACTCTGCCCATGGCAAGGGGGTTGGAAATAGATGATCTTAATAATTCCTTCCAACTCAAACCATTCTGTGATTCTGTGAAAACACTGATTTTATTTTATTTTTTTCTCTCCCTCTTACTCAGTAGCCTGAGGTGTTGTTGGTGGTGAGCAATGTACCCTGCAGAGGCAGCAAAGCACAGGTATGTTCCAGGAGAATGGAAAAAGGCTGTGCTCTGTGTCACTGCTTGTGACAGAGTTATTAGTCAAAATAATGGAAGAGCTCAGAGGTGACTCATGAATGAAAATAACTGGGTAATTAACACCAGTGAACATTTATTTAGGGAAAAACGGGTCCCTTCAAATTAATGCAGTTAGGCTGACAGGTTACAGGCAGAGATCTGTTATTGATGGGCTGAAGTGACACTGTAACACACTGACAGTCTCCTGCTGCACAGGCAAACAACTTCAGGTATGAAAATCCATGGGCCAACGTGCCACTATTTAAAGGGCTAGCAGGGCTGAAATGGTCACTGGTTTGACAAAAAAAGTCTGCTGCCATAGGGCAGTTAGTTTGGTTCTCTCTGGATTCAGCACTGCTGGCCAGTACTGGGCTCTGTTGTTTTGCACTCTATTTGGAAAGTTGGTTAAGTGGGAAGTTTTGGGGAAACCCACACAAGGGAGTGGAAGCTAATCTGCTTCTCCTAATGTGAGGGACTCCAGGAGAATGACAAGAAGGGAAAGGGCAGCTTGGAAATGAGCTTGTATAGTCATAAAGATGTAACTACTTTCAGGGGCTGAAAACTGAAATGGGTAAAATTAAACCTCAAAAAGACATACTAACAGAATTTCTAACAGAAATGCTCCAGTTCAGCCAGGAGTTAATCCGAAGACATATTATCACACAGGACAATGGTCCTCTCTTGCCTTGCAGGATATCAACCATAGATGTGCTGAAACCACAGAGCTCCAGCCTGGGATCTCTGCCTTGTAATCAGATGGGTGAGGTTTGGGTTAAATAAAATACAAAATGAATACAATATAATCTGTTTCCTCACATTTTGCTTCAGGGCACTAACTGTGAGAAAATCACAAAGTGCTTGAATTCTTCCCAAGCTTGGGCAGTAGCCCACATCTCAGAGCAAGACAGCACATGAAACAATTCCTGTTTCCAAGCATTTCCTGTAAGGCCACCAGGTGCCTCTTTCCTGCAGTCCTGTAAGCTGTGCTGTTAATTCAGCATGGAGCTCAGTGAGGAAGGACAGATTCCCTAATGCATTTCTGTTTTCCCTACTGTACTGCTCATGATACTTGAGAGAGCCCAGCGATGTAAACACACCCAGATGTGTGAAGCATGCCCTTGGCCTCTCTGCCATGCTGCTCTGGGAGTGCTGTGGAGCATTTCCATTCTGGGTTACCAGTTTCTCTGGGAAGGGGGCTGTTTGGACAATAATACCCACGTGTGCAGCGAGCCTGGCTGCTTGTCCTTAAAAATAAAACAGCTGGATCCCATCCCTGGCTCACACTGTCGTCTTCTGTTGTGTGGTGGCACTGGCACCATGAAATGTCAGCTCTCAAAATGGAAATGGCTGGCATTGTTTAGGACTGATTCCAGCAAATGCCTTTTGGATAGAAGCACTCTTTTGCTGCCCCTTCTCTGTTACCTCGTGAGGAGAAGTATCTCAAATAGGTCATTGTTATGCACGGAGAGAACCCTGTTCCCTAAGCTCCCTGGGTTTCCAAGTAAACGAGCTTTGGAGGTAAGTTAGCAAAAGAGGCTGATTCATTAGCAGCAAGGGAAATCTGTGTGTTGGAGGGGAGCCCAGCTGCCCAGAGGGATTTAAGTAGTGACATGCTTCTCAAATCTTCATAGAACAAGCTGAGTGATACACACACAGGCTTGAACTGTATCACAATCACATGCTTGCTAGGCTCAGTTCTTATCTCATGGGTTTCTCTGGAGAGTATCAGTTGCTCCAGTCCTTCACAGGGCTTTAAAACTGTAAGGGAAGAAGTCACAGTGAGGTTTCCTTTAATGTGAGAAAATTCTGTATCTGTTTTCTTTTCCAAATTAGGTCACCTTGTAAGGCAGTTCTGGATGGAACTGGTCCCTGCAGTTATAGAGGCTGTAAATAACATAGGTATTACAACATGTTTGACAGGATTTCATTGCGCCATCACTACTCTGTCCGAATATCATATCTCAAATTAATAACAAATTAATTTTATCTGCTGAAAGACCCCAACTGTCACCCTCCTGCCCGGAATGAGATAATTCTGGGCAGTTACTCTCTTAGAGGAGGAATGGGGCCAGCACATTCTTCTGGCATCATTACTGAGGGTAGCACAGGGATGAACGCTCCCCTTTGTCCAATCATACAGAACTCAGGGAGGAGAATTCATCTCTTTGGAGCATCTTCTGCCTCTTTGTTGGTGTGTCAAGCACTGGTGCCAATTAGTGCCAGTGATGAGAAGGGCACTCCTCCGCAAGATCAGAAGCGAAATGCACAAACTGCTCCCACAGCTGTCGGATTATAAAGATCTCTGGCCCCTCCTGACCCGGACCAGATTTGAACCATTGACCTAGAAGCAAAAAACTTGACATCCCTGCACAAGCCGCAGGATAAACAGGACTTGCAGAGCCTCATTCGCATTCAGCTGCTGCCATCTAATGGCAGATGGGGAGTGGAAAGGCCTCAAGCAATAGAAAGCAACACAAATACCACTCTTGGGACTCTGGTAGGTGGCAAAACCTGCACAGATGGTTCTCATCAGAGTGCTGGGGAAGCGAGGGGATTTAGGCTGGTTTTATTCCTCTGAAGAATAGTTTGACTGCTGTGCTGCAACTCAACACAGAAGTGTCCCTCTACAAACACCAGGTCTTCGCACTTCTTGTGCTCTTCTCTGCTGGGTTGTTTCCATACAGGAAACCTGAGGGAGAGTCTGTTGTTGCAGCCTGGCTTAACAACTGCCCAAGGGCAAAGGCAACTGAGTGTTGAGTGCCTATAACAAGGGGAGGTGATGAGAATAAGAAGGTAGGAGGTGACACTTTTACTTTTTCTTAGTAACACTGGTTCACACAAAACATCTGGACTTTCCAGAACTTGTATCAGAAAGAGAAGGAGGTGGAGATTAGAACAAAATTAACACAGCTATCTAAAATTTATTTGGCCTGGCCTAGCAGACAATAAAGCTCACTTTCCTTCAAAGATTACATAAAGAAAACCAAAGAAAGGAGATGTCTCCTTCCCCCCCTTTAGCAGCTCCAGGAAGTTCCTCCTGTTTCCTGCCGCTAAACCCTCAGATTTATAATGTAAAAAGTATTGATCATGTATCAGTTTTGCACTGCCTGTGTCTGTCTATGCACATATCTCCAAATAATTATTTTAAGCCATGCTAGCTAACACTGTCTCACAGAGGAGAAAGGCTAGAGAATGCATATTTCTTTATGCGTCCCTGAGCTGCAGCAGGTGGGTATCCAGAGGCATGTCCCATGATGGGAATGCAGCCTGGTGAGCCATGCAGCAGTCTCCAACAGCCTTAACACAACCCCAGTGGTGACACGGGAGCTTGCAAGGCTCAGGAGTCCAACTAAGTCTGTGACCAGGGCTAACTGAAGTCATAAATCAAGATTTATATTTGAGAAATATCTCCAGTACTCCCTACTTACCCAAGAAATGCCATTTTATAGGAGAAAACTGGGAAGGAAATAAAAAAATCACAACTTCAGACAGACTACTGAAGAAAGCTGTAAAATACCACTCTTCTTGGCTGAGGGAATAATTGCTGGACAGAAAGTCCTGTTGTGAAGCAACATGGAGGTGACAAAGGGAATACTAATCTTATTCTTTTTTTTTTTTCCCCTGCTGAAGGAAACAGTCTTCAAAAGCACTGCAGCGAGAAACAGAAATGAGTGTATTGAGCCCTCACCTTGCAACTGCTGGTGCTGCCTGCACCTCAGGGAGAGAGCAGAGGAAAGCAGCACCTGCCAGTTGTAACTCGGGGGAGATAAAACATTTTAGCATGAGGCTGCTCAGCTTTGTGCCAACAGGCACTTCCCAGGCTGCAAGGAGCAGCTGAGCTATCCTGTCTAAAGGGTCACTGCAGCTCTGTTTGCAATCAAGGTCCAGCCACTGTTCCCTTACGTCAAAGCCAGGATCCATCCAAACAGTGTTGCTGCACTTCCGAGAAAGTGCAGCCTTGTGCCGCTGCTGAAAGGCAGCCTGAGCAAACAGAGCCCCTGGGGATGCTCCAGGGCTGCAGCCTGGCACAGCCGCTCATGGCACACGGACCGCACAGCCCTGGCAGGGCTGGGAGCTCTTGTGGCTGCAGCTCAGCCCCAGGTGTGAGATCCCCGTAGATCAGCTGCATTCCTGAGCTGGAAGCGTTACCGAAGTGCCCTTGTCAATCAAGTTCCCCGGGAGACTTTGTGCTTGCTCTGTAGATATTTTACTTTGAAGCTCATTGGTAAAATGATAGGAGAATACGCTTAACAGGTCTAAAACTGTCTTGGCAACGTTGTTACTTTTTGAAACCGTGTTCCTTCCCCTCTCGTTTCTCACACCAAGACACCGGCTTCTGACCACTCTCAGGGAAGTATTAGTTGCAAAGTAAAGACGTAAAATTACACCAAGTGAGTTGAAATTTAAAGCCTTGCCCTTACAGAGTGACGTTCAACAGCCACCGTGCACCCTCGACACGCAGCAGCTGCAGGGTTTCGTTACTGCCACTTACCAAAACATTCAACTCCTTTTGGTGAGCCCTGCTTTGAGCCAGGGGCACCATTTTATCTGTAAGAGCCCTTTAGAGTAGCATGACATCTGAGAGACTTCAGCAGGATATAAGTTTGCTCTGGTACTGAGGTATGGTTTAATATCCTCAATTGTTCTGGAAATTTGAGCTGCATGATTCAGGAGACTTGCATGAGTATGGTTACTCCAGTGCTTAACGAGATTTATGTGCTTAAAAGTGATGGGTGCTGTAATCACATTTCTAACACGCTGATGCAGAACGGGAGGGGAAGAAAAACCGTATGAACGGGAGCTGTGCCCTGCCGGTGGTGGAGGCAGGCTTCTGCACAGGAAGCTCGCAACACGAGCTCCCGCAAATGCCAAAACGAGGAGGAAAAAAAAAAAAAACCCCGACGAACCCAAACAGAGGAAACGTCTTTCCGCAGCTCTGAATTGCAGCCTCCTGTTTACGCTGCCCACGCTGGAAGCTGTCACCCTTTCCCTGCTATCCTCCCCGGGCTCCGGGAGCGGCGGGGGGACAGCGGGGGGACAGCGGGGGTGCTCCGGGCCCCGAGCGACACCCGTCCCTGCTGGGAGCGTCCGGCTGCGGCCGGGGGGTACCGGGAGGGGGCCGGGGGCGCTGCCGGCGTGGCGGGGCGTGCGGCAGCAGGGTGCGGGCACGGCGCCGGGGCTGGACCGGCGGCTGCCACTCACGGCGCCGCCTCCGCCTCCGCGGGCGGGGGCCGGGCTC